CTTCCATCTTCCAGCATCAACAACAGAAATTGAATGTTCCTGGTTCTTTCAATATGTTGACTATTGGAAGAGAGATTCTTTTTGAAGTTCAGTCAACCACTCGGGTTTGGGAATCTGGCGCTGAAAACACGAGTTGCTACTCGTTGGTCATCCAACCGGAGCCACTTGTGTGGACAATACTTTCTAAGGATGACTTGGTGGATAATTTTACCTATGATGTCTTGAAACGGAACCCAAGGACTCTGTATTATGGTTGGAGTTCGTGGTCCTATTGTCGGAAAGGAGAGGTTATTTCTTATTACCCAGGTGGTTGGAGGAGTAAGAATACAGACCATGATGATAGATATTGCTATGTGATGGTGGGCAATGATCAAGGTATGTCAAGAGTTTCAATTCTGGAAAAAATGTCACTCATGACACGTTACAGGGTACTCTGAAGCAAGAGCTACTAGCAGATGGAATATTGAGCAGAAGGTGATGAATAAAGATCAGTACCAGCAGGGACAGAACAACCTGAATAGTATGGATGCTTTGAAGGGAGAGGATCTAGTGCTGTTTTTACTAGAAGTGAGGATGAAGATTCAAGAATGGAAACTCCTTGACCAACCTACAGTCATGTATTGGGAAGGAAGAGGAGCAAGGAGGAAGAAGAAGAAGCAGAAGATTGTGGCTGTTTCCTATCACCCACCTTGAGAGCAAGGTGGATGTTTAGGGGGGGAGTAATGTTAGTGACTCTACTAATTCGGAAATAGAAGATAGATATTTTGGAAAAGTATATTCTAGAAGAAAGTAGAGTTACTTATTAGTTAAAGGCATTGTTAGCTAATAACTGTCTTCGGTTGTATTAGTTACTTACTTTCTATAAATAGTAGCTAGCTGGAATGGGTGAGTAGGCTGTTTTAGACTTGTCTTGGGACTTGGGAAGACTGAGACTAATAATCTCTTTCTTTGGGAGCTTCGGCTTTTGGGGGCTTCGGCCAGTATATTGTTTTACCGTTAATAAAGATTCTGGAGTTCTTGATACTATTTCCTTACTTTCTCTTTGATATTTGCTGGGATTTCTGGAGGATTCTATCACAATATCCCTCTCCTTGTTTTTGAATATTTTTTACTTTTCTTTTAAAAGAAATCTCAGACCTACTCAAAGTTGGATCTCCTTTTAACATCTGTTTCTGGCCCTTCTCCCATTTGATAGTGAGCTGGCTGAAGTTGAATTCCACATTTCCTAGACCAGAAAGCCATTCCATACCCAACACAATTTCAGTTCCTCCCAAGTCCAGAGTATAAAAATCTCGAATTATAGTAGTCTGTTGAACCCTGAGAGTTATAGCTTCACATATAACATTGTTACTAATCAACTCTCCATTTCCATTCTCCACCTTGTAACCAGGAATATGTAAAATAGGTATTCCCACTTCTTGCACTACCGCCGGAGATATGAAGTTATGAGTGGCCCTACAATCAATCAGTGCCACCACACTTTTGCTACCCCTGTGGCCCTGTACCCTGCCTGTTACCTTGAAAGTTCTTGGAGTAGTGATGCCAGCTTTACTCAGGACAGATAATTGCATGGTAGGAGTTTCAATTTCTTCTTCGTGAACACCATTTTCCAACTGCAATAATTCCCTTTCCTCCTCACCCTCTGAATCTTCTATGACCACAAATTGAAAGTGTTTCATCTTGCAAATGTGATCCTTGCCCCAATGTTCTCCACATCTGAAGCATAGTCCCTTTCTGCTTAATTCTTGTAATTCCTCTGGAGATAGTCTCTGACCTGCTCTTAATCCCACAGGTTTGTTAGCTACTTCATTTCCTTTTCTCTCCAATGGCAGCTTCTCTGATTGAGTCTGACTACTCAAATTAGATCTCAATTTAGTACCATCAATCCATCTTTGAGATGTAGATGCACTGCTACTTTTTTCTTTCCATCCTCTTCTTTCCTCATCTCTACTTCTTCCTGTCTTGAGGATCAAATTTCTGTCTTCCAACAGTAAGACCCTATTCATCAAGTCAGCTAGGGTTCTTGTTGGATATAATTTCATATTAGCCTTTACTTCATCTTTCAAACCATTCAAAAAGATTCCCTTAAGTATGCCTTCATCAGTATGTCGTAAAGGTGCTACTACTAATTCAAACCTTTCCCTGTACTCCATGACACTGCCAATTTGTTTCACACTCAACAAGGGGCCATATGGATTTGTACCAAATCAGGTTGGAACCTTTGGATTAGAGCAGCCTTAAATTGTTCCCAGTTACGCACTACTGCCTTTTCTTCCCACTATTGGAACCAACTTAAGGCTTTCTCCTCCATAGCTAAGATTACTTTCTCCACCTTAGCCTCTTCTGCTATATTATTGAGTTTAAAGAATCTTTCGACTCTTATTGTCCAACCATAAGCGTCATTCCCATTAAAAAGCGGTAAATCCGCTTTCCGACCAGATTTCATGAATAATCTCTGAGTATTATCCTCTCGTCCAGATGAAATGGAATGAGAATTACCTCTGGACTCAGATGTGGCCGTACTATTGTGTCGCGAGTGATGCCTGGTTGTCGTTGATCTTCCTCGTTCGCGACGGTCATTTTGTTGCAGAATCAATTCGCGTAACTCAGCGATATCACTTCGCAATTGGTCGCGATTATCTTGCAACCCTAGGATCGCGTTCCTCATCTCTTCGCGATCGCGCTCCATACTCTCCAGCTTTCCTTCCATGGTTCCACGCGTAGCTAATTGCTACAGTAATTCCGAGCTCACAGAAGGCAAAATGGTGAAGAGAATCAATAGAGGGAGTTTATTGTTTAACGGAAAGAGAAAATACAGTTCCCAGGTCGTTACACAGTTCCGACTCCCAATCCCAGGATAGTTCCAACCTGTCTCCACTCACATACACAACCCTTATTTATACTAATATTTACCCCAACCTCTTATTACACAGTCAGCAGCTATGTACTAGTTCCCTTCCTTCTAGTGTACACTTTGTTAAAATCGGTAACACTATTATTATTCTTCCTTTGCCCCCCTTGCTCCCTATCACAGATTAACTATGCATTGATAACCAGACTGCTCTGTCAAAATATGTCCTCTTGGACTATGCAAAACAGTGCACGAGTGGTCAGCTTCTGGTGATAGATGGTCTATTAATAGAACTAAGACAAAACGGTGATAAGCACATTGTTCCAATTTGCCTTCAAGATTATGATTTACCACTCACCATTTGAATATCTACGACTCTGTCCCAAAAGAGTACTATTTGGTCAAAAAATAACTTTTAATTCTGCCAAGGTACAATTGTAAAAAGGTAGTGTAGTCAGACGGAACTACTTCAGTAACTTCCATATGATGAAACAAGCATCCTCCTGAGAAGAGTAAATGAAACCTGAACTCAAAGCAAGCTCTTGTTATTCCTTGAACCTCCTAAACTCAAACCAAATCTCGTCATGGTTGAAAAGTAAACTATCATGAGTGTGCTTCCTAAGATACTAAAGGCCAATATTACTTAACCTTTTTGCACATATGTCTCCTCCTAGTCTCAAAATATGACAAATGCTAACAAGTCTCTCTAACCCAACCCAAACAAGCTTGTCTGGAATATGCAGGAATGCAGCACTTGCGTATATCAAAGCGAACATTGTTCCAGATCCAAACTTACTAAACTCAGTGTCTTCACCTCTTAAAATGAGAGGACGCTTGGATAATAACCCTTGGGATGGAAGCTCATACCTCAATGCAGCCATTAAGGACACCTCATCTGTTTCCAGACAGTTGTACTTCTGGATTTAAGTACAGGATAAAATGCAGCCCAACACGAAGGGTCCCACATCCAATCTCTAACACTTTGGAGTTTGGAGATAGATGGACATATTTTGCAAGAAATTCAAACACATCTCTCCCTCCTGCCCCAGGCTCCCCGTAAATACTTGATGTTTCTGCTATATACTTTTCTTATGCGTACATCTCCTTAGGTGATACCAGTACACTTCCAAGTTTTATTATGGCCATCCTTGCATGCTTTTTTTACTTCTTGTAGTTGTTTGAATCTTGATGTGATTGGAGAAATGCCTAGTGTAATGTATCTTGGGAAAATAAATTACGATTCAAGCAAAGGGAAAAAGAGTACGAAAAACTGAAAGTCAATTGGCATTATCTTCAACCCAGTTCAAGAAATTTCACTCAAATTCAGCTATGAAGAAATAAAGAGTGCTTCTTTGTACATGAACTATAAGATTGTGTGTTCATTTTTATTGCAGTGCTCACAAATCACAATTACTCATCCTTGACTGTTTAACCGTCTAATAAGAAGATTGTTTGGGTTAGTGAACTTTTTTATTTTTTTCTTCTGGAAAGAATAAAAAAATCAGGGCCAGGACTATTTCAACTGTCTTTGCAACATGTTGCTACCATGATTTGCTGTTTGTTTTACTTTCAACCATATATGTGAAGACTAGAAATAGGGTTGTCCTTAAAATATTGCATTTCTTGCTAAATGTATTTGTGGAATAACTATAGAATAGGTCAATTAGTTACACGTTGTTACTATAGATTAGGATTAAGTTGTAATTAATTATTGTAAATCTTATCCCTTCTTTGTAGGATCGGTTGTTGTATTGTATGATAAATATAACACTCAATGAAAGAAGTATTCAGATTGGCTAATCATTTTAATCTGTATACTCTTGGATCTAATCTAATCCCATCTGCCCTAACAACCACAGTTGAAAATTCAGACTCTTGGATCATAGATTCAGGAGCAACTGATCACATGACTAGCAACTCTTATCTATTCTTTTCATATACTCCTTGTTCTGGTCATCAGAAAGTAAAAATTGCAGATGGTTCCTTCTCATCCATTGCAGGCAAAGGATCTATAGTTGTCTCTTCCTCACTCACTCTTCTTAATGTTCTTCATGTCCCTAAACTCTCCTGCAATCTTATCTCTGTCAGAAAACTATCAACTGATAGTAATTGTACTCTTAAGTTTGCTACTAATGGTTGTATATTTCAGGAGCTATCTTCGGGGAAGATGATTGGCAGTGCTAGCGAACGTGATGGACTCTACTTCCTTGACCAAGACAATCTTCCTAAAAGTCAAGCACATTCCTCTAGTTCGGTTAGACCTATTGTTTTTTCTGATGAAATAATGTTATGGCACTATCGTTTAGGCCATCCCAGTTTCAGTTATTTGCAACATATGTTTCCAGCATTATTTCAAAATAAAAGCATGTCTTCCTTTCAATGTGAAGTGTGTCAATTAGCTAAACATCATAGATCAGTTTTTCCTTCTCTAAAGTATATTCCATCTAAACCATTTGCTCTTGTGCATAGTGATATTTGGGGACCAGCACAAGATAAAAATATTACTGGTACTAGATGGTTTATAACATTTATAGATGATCACACTCGAACAACTTGGATCTATCTCCTAAAAGAAAAATCTCAAGCTGCATCTATCTTCAAAAAATTCCACTCAATGATTCACACTCAATTTCAATAAAAAATTCAAGTCCTTAGGACAGATAATGGTCGTGAATACTTTAACTCTGTCCTAGGGGATTTCCTTACTCAAGAAGGAATAATTCATCATAGCTCGTGTCAATACCCCTCAGCAAAACGGCATAGCCGAACGAAAAAACAGACATTTATTAGAAGTTGCTCATTCTCTCTTATTCTCTATGAATGTCCCTAAGAAATTTTGGGGGGAGGCTGTCCTTACTGCATCATATCTCATAAATCGCATGCCAAGTCGTGTCTTAGGTTTCTCAACACCATTACAAACTCTTCAATTCTGTTTCCCACTCAATAGGTCATTTACTACTCTACCCACCAAAGTGTTTGGCAGCACAGTTTTTGTTCATACTCATGCTCAACAGAGAAGTAAACTTGACCCGAGATCTAAAAAATGTCTCTTCCTTGGGTTCTCTCCTACTCAAAAGGGTTACAAAGCTTTTGATCCACACACGGGTAAAGTTATAGTGAGTATGGATGTCACTTTCTTTGAAAATACTCCTTTCTTTTCCAAAACTGATCTTCAGGGGGAGAAAAATATTATACTTGAAGATCAGCCAGTCGTCCCTACTGAATATGTCCTACCTAATCCGGTGATTCCTGCTGAAAATGAACATGTTCCGGTAATACTGTGTCCCCAAACAACGTCCCAGCCTATTCTTCGGGTTTACTCCAGGCGTCCTCGTCAAGGGGTGACACCAACACCTTTGCTAGCACCATCAACATCTGATCCGACTATAATTCCAGGTAATTCTAATATTCTTGAGTCTGATTTTGTTCCCATCACTGATCCAGATCCCAATCTCCCCATTGCCCTTAGAAAAGGTACTAGAGTGCACAAAACACCCAATCATCCATCATTAATCTTATGCTAATCTTTCCTCTAGCTATAGAACCTTTACTACAAGTATTGCTGATGATGAGATTCCTAAGTCTATACATGAAGCTCTAGCTATTCCTAGCTGGAAAGAGTCCGTTCTAGAAGAAATGCGTGCTCTTAAAAAGAACAACACATGGACACTGACCAAACTTCCTCCAGGCAAACATACTGTAAGTAGTAAATGGATCTTTACAATCAAATATAAAGCTGATGGAACAGTGGAGAGATTCAAAGCACGGCTGGTTGCTAGGGGCTTTACACAAACATACGGAATGGACTATGAAGAAACATTTGCTCCCGTGGCAAAACTGAACACAGTAAGAGTCCTACTTTCGTTAGCAGCAAATCATGAGTGGCCTTTACATCAATTTGATGTGAAGAATGCATTCCTTAATGGGGAATTGAAAGAGGAAGTTTTCATGGAAATACCACCAGGTTTTGATAATTATAACACAGTGGGAAAAGTGTGCAGGTTAAATAAGTCATTGTATGGCTTAAAGCAATCTCCAAGGGCATGGTTTGAGAAGTTTGCAAAGACAATTAAACAAGAAGGTTACACTCAGTCACAAGCTGATCACTCATTGTTCTACAAACACTCCTCAGATGGGAAAAAAGCCATTCTCATAGTGTATGTAGATGATATTGTAATGACAGGTGATGATGTTGCAGCACTAGAGAAACTGAAACAACTTTTAGCCACACAATTTGAAATCAAAGACCTTGGAAATCTGAAATATTTTCTAGGAATGGAAGTGGCAAGGTCAAAGAAAGGGATAGCTCTTTCCCAAAGGAAATATGTCCTAGACTTGCTCAAGGAGACAGGCTTACTCGGATGCAAACCGGCTGTGACTCCTATTGATCCAAACCAAAAGCTTTCTTTAGATGATGGGAGCACTCCCACAGATACAACCAGGTATCAAAAACTGGTAGGGAAACTCATATATCTCTCTCTCACACGGCCTGATATTGCTTTTGCAGTTAGCTTGGTGAGCCAGTTTATGCATTGTCCAAATGACACTCATCTTAAGGCTGTGTACAGAATATTACATTACCTAAAGGGAAGTCCGGGAAAAGGTATTTGGTTTGAAAAAAATGAGGGCAGGAAACTAGAAGTATTTACAGATGCTGATTGGGCAGGAAACATTAATGACTGAAGATCAACCACAGGATATTGTACTTTCCTGTGGGGTAACCTTGTCACATGGAGAAGCAAGAAACAAGATGTTGTATCACACAGTAGTGCTGAATCAGAATACAGAGCCATGGCTTCAGGTGTTTGTGAACTCATTTGGATAAGAAGAATCTTGAAGGAAATTAAAGAGGAAATTGAGCAACCCATGAAGCTGTTCTGTGAAAATAAATCTGCTATAAATATAGCAAACAATCCTGTTCAACATGACCGTACGAAGCACATAGAGATTGACAGAAATTTCATTAAAGAAAAGCTTGAAAGTGGAGAAATTTGCATGCCTTATGTCTCTACTCAAGAGCAATTGGCAGATGTGCTTACAAAGGGTCTATTCAAATCAGCATTTAACGAACTAATCAGCAAGCTGGGCATGATTGATATCTTTGCACCAGCTTGAGGGGGAGTGTCGAATAACTATAGAATAGGTCAATTAGTTACACGTTGTTACTATAGATTAGGATTAAGTTGTAATTAATTATTGTAAATCTTATCCCTTCTTTGTAGGATCGGTTGTTGTATTGTATTATAAATATAACACTCAATGAAAGAAGTATTCAGATTGGCTAATCATTTTAATCTTTAGTATTTGTTTAAGGTTTTATAAAGCTTGTAGTTGCTGTTAGAGTTTTTCTTAGTGGAAGAGTTTTTCTGAATAGAAATATGAATGCACCACACTAGTGCAATCACTTTTAGCTTTTGTGATTTGCAGGTCTTGTTGTCTATCTTGGTTGGAACATTGTACCTGTTACCATAGCTGGGTCCAATTTTATATTTAACCACTTCATTAAGATTAGTTAACTTTTGTTTCTCTCAGGCCCAACAATCTAATTTCTTGCTATCATCTATTTCATATCAGGTGTCCCTGGAGCCTATGTCTTATGGTATCATCCTCTATATTTGTGCAATGAGGTTTGCTCAACTTTATCCTTTCCCTCTCTTCTGCTGCATAGGAAATTTCTAATTAAATATTTAAAACTATTTTCAGTTATCTAATGTATTGTTTTCAACTATACTCCTTGCAGGACTGTTAGTGCATTGAAAATCAGCTGGGTTTTTTTGTGTTATATGGTGAGTGCTTGTTTTCAGCTTTCCGTTTAAGGCGCTCTCACTGTTTCATGCATTGATATGTATTGCTTTTTTATTACTGTTATGCGTGTTGAAGTTTTACATTGGGTTTTGTGTTGTTGCTGTGGTGGCACCTCCCATCTTTTTCAATGGGAAATATTTGACATAAGTTGCCTCTTCATTCTCGAACTCAGTAAGCCACTCTTTCCAAGCCTGTAAAACTCAGTGTGCTTCTCTCATTGTAAGAATGAGTTTATAATCTTCTCACATACTTTAGAGTATGCTTGGATCTTCGGAAAAGCCTGGGAAATGGGGGGATTTGATGGAAATTATTTTCACATGTTTTGTCTTTCTTGGAAAATGAAACATGGTCTCTTTTCAGAAAATCTTACACATAATAATATATTTAGATTTATTACTTTTAATATAATCCATATTAGTAAATAAAACAAGGATCAACAAATTTCTAGAATATTTTTTTTGGGGGTTTAGAGTGTCTTTTTTCTTTCCTTTTTATTTGAGAGAACTATCAAATAAGCCCTCGAACTTTCATAAAAAGTGCAAATAACCCCTTTTATAGGAGGCTCTGTCCGGCCGTCGCCATTTAGAGCGGTTTACGGTGTAATTTTTTGATGAAATTTTTTGAGTATCTTCTTTATTAAGTCTATTTTATTCATACTAAATTTCAGCTAAATATTCAATCGGGAATGCAGTCAAATGAATTTTTGAAGATAACTGCGTAGTTAGACAGCGCAGTATATTTAGAAAATCATTTGACTGCCTTCTCGATTGAATTTTTAGCTGAAATTTTGTATGGGTAAACTAGACTTAATGAAGAAGATGCTCAAAAAATTTCATCAAAACATTCCACCGAAAACCGCCCTAAATGGCGACAGTCGGACAAAGCCTTCTGTAAAAGGGCTTATTTGCACTTTTTATGAAAGTTCGAGGACTTATTTGATAGTTCTCCCTTTTTATTTTATATTCCTAGTAATTTAAGGGGCTCCATACGGAGCCTTAATTCTGAGTTTTTTTAAAAGAAATTGTCCTAAATGAGATTAAAACATGGCTAAAACTCCAAAATAGGACTTCAAGTTTTAAATTTCCTAAATGGGACTCCAGATTACCTTTTTGCCCGTAATCCCTAAATCACCTTTTCCCCAAATCCCTCTGCATCGATCGCTAGACCTACAACTCCCCTTGCGACTCAACTGCCATGGACGCAACTCAACCTCCATCGATCGCAAGTTCGCAACTCGACGGTGGCCTATCATCGCAACTGCCTGCTTGGGCCGGGCGCCATCTCCAGCAAAATCAGGTATTCTTCTCCTTCTTCTTCTTCTTCTTCTTCTTTTTTCTTCTTCTCCTCCATCTCCTTCTCCTTCTTGTTCTTCTTCTTCTTGCTCTTCTCCTTCTGTAAATGTCAACAAGATGTCATTTTATTCCAAAATGCCTACATTATTTTAACATCACAGTTCACAAGATGTCATTTTTTAAAAATTGACATGTTTATTTTTTATATGACATTTAAGGATAGAAACATGACATTCGCAATTGGCATTTTCAAATATTGTAATGACATAAAAGTGACATTTTGTAAAAATACCCAATAATTATGACATTCTCTTATTCAAAAAGTGACATTTTCTGGAATCATTAGTCAGGGCATTTTGAGATTCAAAGTAATCAAAATTGACAACAAGAAATTCAAGAAGAAGAAGAATTTATAAAATAGGAATTATGGTCCTATTTTGTGATTTTGCTGGAAGGAGAGGTCCTGCACTAACGATTGACGGTGGTTGGTGTCTCGCTGGAGGGCGGCAGCCGGAGGGCGACGACTGGAGGTTGTGGTCTGATTGGACGGTGGCGATGGTTCTATTGCTGGATGGTGGCAGCACCATTAGAAGCAGCAATAGGGAAGCGATGGAGGCTGGTGTGCGTCGCTGGTGTGCACCAGTAGCGCTACAGAACAGTAGGTTTTTTTAATTAAGGGTAGTTTTGTCACATTACCTATGTTTAGTCCTATTTTTGTCAAATAAATATAGCAGTCCTATTTTTGCAATACTACCTAGTTTTAATCTTATTTAGGTAAATCTCTCTTTTTTGAATATGTAAATTTAGGATGTTTCTAAATGGACTGAAATTTTCTGGTCTGGTCTGTACTCTGTTTAAGTCTAGTGTCATGTAGTTTGGTCTGATAAATGTCTAGTCCATGTGTATTTTGTATATGTAGAAAGTATGTTCTAGTGTGGTCTGTTTAAATTTTGTTTGTTCTGATCTAAATCAGTTTAGTCTGGTCTGGTATGATTTGGGATTGAAATAAGTCCAACAAAACATCCTTAGCATCTAACTTGTTCATTTTGATTCTATTGTGCAGTGGTATCTTGCCAGCAATTGAACTTTTAAATGGAAATGTTCTGGTTTGGGTAGGTGCAATATGCACTGGTTTTGCACTATATTGCCAGGAGTAGTATTATTTGGTTTGCAGATTTTCTTTTTAAGCAAGGCATTTTTGTTCGTTGTAACTTTTCTAACTTTTCTCTTTTGGTTGTCTTATTAACTATGTCACTTTTCATTTTAAATAAAGAATTTTTGATTTTGATGAATTCTCTCTCCTTTGCACAAATCTCAATCATACAATTTTTTCCTTTATTATTTTACGTGTTAGCCAACATTGCCATAATTGTAAATGACGGATGAAGTAGCATTTTTTTCAAAAATAGGAACCCATATTTTGTTTTTCTTAAATTCAACCGATCATTCAATTTTCCCTTAATACTTCGTATAATTAATAAATTAATTAACTTAACTAATTGTCCCATAATTTCTTTGCATTAATCAAGGTCAAGTTGATGGTGGCTTAGGCCGGTAGTGGTGACTGCTCGGCGGCAAACTCTGATAGAGGTGACGGTTAAACTCTTGCTAGATCTGCGGCCGTGAGCAGTGGCGGTTTGGTGACTTAGGGGTAGTAGTCCTTCAATTTTATGAGGTTATCTTTGTTCAATCACAAATAAAAAAAGTTGTATGTATGGCTTTTTTAACTAGTAGATCGTATTTTTGAAAAAATGCAATGTTTTTGTCATATTTGGAGAGTTCTACTAAAAGAGGAACCCGCTCAACGATCAAAAGTATTTTGGTTCGAGTTGTACAACGTAGTTGTACAGCAGATCCTTAGTTCGAGTCAAGGATAAACTCCCAAGGGAAACAAAAAGAGAAGAATGTAGAATTTCAGGAATTAATTACTAGTCATACCAAATATGTTCTACTAACAGAGATATATACTGGCATATTACATGGGCAGCAAGACACGAACTAAACAACAATCCCACGTACTAGCTAAATTATAGGAGATAAAACATGAAAGATTAAACTAAAATTAAGGCATGATGAAATCAGCAAAACGTGCAGGGAGTTTCCTGGCCCGAGTGCTAACTGTTTTTCCACGGTTTCCCTTGTCAGTTTCTTTGGGTGTATCACTCTCCCCCGCTTCAAAAGACACCTTGTCCTCAAGGTGTATATCTGGAAATAGAGCCTTAACTGTATCAATATCAACCTAAGATACATCATCTTGTGAGCTGCCTGGCCAATGTATAAGAACCTGAGACACCAATCGCCCATGGCGTATAATGCTACGTGAGTCACATATCATCAGAGGGGGTTGCTTGGTTTGTTCGATTAAATCAGCCGGTAGTATGGGAGTGGAGTCCTTCTCAGAACCGATGAATGGTCGGAGTAGAGACACATGAAAAACTGGATGAATGCGAGCACCTGGAGGCAGCTCTAACTTGTAAGACACCGGGCCTATGTGTTTCAGCACTTTGAAAGGGCCAAAATAACGTTTTGACAACTTGTGAGAACACCTTTGGGCGACAGAATTTTGGTGGAAAGGCTGCAATTTCAAGAGAACCAAATCACCAGGTTGAAACTCAACTTCCCGACGGTGTTTGTTAACCCTTTGGACCATACGATTTTGTGCATGTTGTAAGGACTGCTTCAAGAACCGTAGAATGGTATCGCGTTCAGTTAGCAAGGCATCAAGAGCATGAATATTAGTTGAGTTGGCAGTGTAACGAGGTATCACCGGAGGAGTGCGACCATATAGAGCCTGGAAAGGAGTCATCTTGATACTGTCATTATAGCTTGTGTTGTAACAAAATTCTGCCCAGCTCAGGAACTCAACCCAAGCAGTAGGTTTTTCCATGGCAAATGCACGTAGATATTGCTCAAGGCCCCTGTTAACCACTTCGGTTTGGCCGTCCGTCTGAGGGTGATATGCAGTACTATGTTTCAGCTTAGACCCGCTCAACTCAAATAACTTTTCCCAAAACTGGCTAAGAAAGAGAGGATCTCGATCTGAAATGATGATGCTCGGGAAGCCATGCAGCTTAACAACAGTATCAACACATAAATTTGCAACCCGGATGGCGTTGAACTTTGCAGGGAGTGCACCAAAGTGAGCAAATTTCGTGAGCCGATCAACTACCACCATAATGGCAGAAAACCCGTGCGATGGCGGCAGCCCAACGATAAAATCCATAGTTAGCTCATTCCAGACTTGTTCTGGAATTGGGAGAGGTTGTAAGAGTCCAGCAGGTGCTTTCGTGAGATACTTCGTTTGTTGGCATATGAGACATGAAGCTACATACTTTTCCACCGTGTCACGCATGTTGGGCCAATAAAAAGTTGCAGCGAGTTTCACCAGTGTGCGCTTGACACCAACATGTCCAGCAGCTTTGGAAGAGTGGAAATCATGAAGTAAATTATCAATTAATGATGAATTGTGACTGAGATAATACCTCGCTTTGTATAGTAGTATGCCGTTATTCCGTGTATACGCTGGACAGAGGTTTCCTGCATCATACTGAGCATGCAGTTTGCGCATATCCTCTAAAGTGGCATTTTCTTCGCGTAACAGCTCCAAAAAATCAGGCACTGGTCTAGAAGCAATCAATAAACAACTTGGTTGTTCATGGACACGGGATAGAGCATCAGCGGCACCGTTATCCTTGCCCGGTTTGTACTCAATCTGAAAATCGAACCCCAACAGCTTATTGACATATTTGTTTTGTTCAGGAGTCAAGACCACTTGATGAAAAAGCTCCTTCAGACTTTTGTGATCTGTTCGTATGATGAAAGAATTTCCGAGTAAATACTGACGCCATTTACGGACAGCTTCGGTGATAGCATAAAGCTCCCGTACATAGGTAGAGGAGTGCTGCAATTTCGGCCCAATCTTTTTACTGAAGTAAGAGATTGGGTGATCTTGTTGCATGAGAACAGCTCCAATGCCGACATTAGATGCATCTGTCTCCACGATGAAAACCAATCCAAAGTCGGGCAAACATAATACTGGAGCTGTTGTTAGTGAGTTTTTGAGCTCCTGGAAAGCCTCAGTAGCACTATCAGACCACTTGAACTGGTCCCTTCGCAATAAGTCGGTCAAGGGAGCGGCAATGGTGGCGTAGCCTTTTATAAAACGTCTGTAGTATCCTGCTAACCCGAGAAAGCCTCGAAGTTGTCGCACTGTTTTTGGTGTCGGCCAAGATACAATAGCTTCCAATTTATTTGGGTCAACATGGATCCCTTCTTTGGTGATGATGTGTCCGAGATACTCTGTTGAGTCTTGGCAAAAAACACATTTGGCTAATTTCAAATAAAATTGGTGACTCAGTAAGCATGAAAGGACCTGGTGTAGGTGCTCCAAATGTTCTTCAAGTGTCTTGCTATAAATAAGAATGTCATCAAAGAAAACAGTGACAAACTTCCGGCGAAAAGCAGCAAGTACCGTATTCATGGTTGCTTGGAAGGTGGCGGGTGCGTTAGTCAATCCAAACGGCATAACCAAGAACTCATAATGTCCATCATGAGTGCGAAAGGCTGTCTTATGGATGTCACATGCTTGAACCCGAATCTGGTGGTATCCTGCTCGTAAATCCAGTTTATCCATGTGAACACAGTTGCTCCACCCAGTTCATCAAACAGTTCATCTGCTGTCGGAATAGGGAAATTGTCTCGGATTGTAACAGCATTAAGTGCCCGATAGTCCACACAAAAGCGATAAGTTCCGTCCTTCTTTCGAACTAGTAATACCGGGGATGAGAACGGGCTGTGACTAGGACGAATGATACCTTGAGCCAACATTTCTTTCACTAGATGTTCCATTTCACTTTTCTGAAAGTGAGGGTAACGATAGGGCCTTACATTGATAGGTTTAGTGTTAGGCAGAAGATATATTCGATGGTCGAAGGCCGTTTTGGAGGAAGTGATTTAGGGGAATCAAACAATTCAGAAAATTCAAGCAACAATTGTTTAAATGGCTCTGGCAGACTAGAAGGAAGAGATAATTGATGTGGCTGAGGTGTGTCTGGGGTCATGGGGGGAGGTTCTCCACTTAGTTGATATATAGCAAAAACACAGTCAACGTTGTTGGAGTCAACCTCAGCTTCTAACTGTGAAAAGGAAATCGGTTGAATGTCTATGCAAGTTTCTCCCCGCAATGTAACCATCTTCCCTTCATGTTTGAATTTCATGGTTAAGTTGGCATAATCATGTGCCACAGTTCCCAGACTTTGTAACCAGTGAATGCCTAGGACCAAATCAGGCCCGACAATGGAAAGGACATACAAATCCATCTCAAAGTGGGTACCTTGCAAGTTCACAACAACGTTTGGGCAATAATATTGGCATAGAAGCGTGTCACCATTGCCAATATAAACCTTAAACGGTTTAACCGGGTGTACGGGCAACTTTAGTGTTTCAACGGTAGATGGCTTGATAAAATTGTGAGTGCTCCCACTGTCAATCATGACCAAGAAATTTTGATTGTTTATGTTTCCCCAAATTCGCAACGAACGAGGGTTGTCATGACCAGAGAGTGTGTTCAAGGCTGAGATATCCCCTGCTATATCGTCCACTTCATTTCCGTCTGGTTCTAGTTCAGAGCTTTGAAGTCCATCCTCTTTGTGGTCAGGTGCAGCAATTAGAAGGTTGAATTTACTCCTACATTTATGACCAGGGGAGTATTTTTGGTCACAGTAGAAGCACAAACCCTTCTCTCGTCGCGCTTGAACCTCTGTGACGCTCATCCTTCTTACTGGAATGTTGTCAGTGATAGGTTGATTAACAAGAGTTGGTGTGGGCAGAATACCTTTTGAATTAGTGGAATTAGGAGCAGCGTTGGACCCTTGACCTCCAGTATTCCATGTTCTAATCTCAGGCATAGTTGATGCGTTCTTGGGACTCCATACTTTGGATGTAGTGCGATACTCTCTTTGGTTTTCATCATGTCGTGCTTCATATGCCTTAGCCAACTTAAAGGTCTCCAAAAGCGTTTGAGGTTTGGCAATCAGTAACTCTCGTTTCAACCCGGATTTTAGTCCGCCCACAAAGAAAGAGATCAGCAAGGTCTCCGGAATTCCGGTTACATTGTTCATGAGCCATTCAAATTCAGTTTGGAACTCTGCCACCGTCCCCTTCTGTGTTAATTTCGCCAATTCGGCTCGGTGATCTTCAAAGTGTTGGGTACCGAACCGTTGTTGTATCTTTTCTAAGAAATCGTGCCACCCATATATGAGGTTGTTGCGTTTTGTCCAACGATACCATTCAGCGGCATCCTTCTCTAAGCAAAAGCCTGCTATTTGTAGCCTCTGGTCTTCTGGGGTTCTGTGGAAATCAAAATATTCTTGAATGCTGAATATCCATTGTTGCGGCTCTTCTCCGTCGAATTTGGGTATGTCAAGCCGCATGTGTTGAAGACTATTTTATTGTGAATCAAGTTTGTCTGTTTTGTCTGTAATAATTTAGATGTTTACTATTTCTGTTCTGCACTGATTAAATATATCTGTTAGAATAGTATTCAATATGGGCCAAGTGTTAGGCCCATACTTAGGCGAGAAGCCTTTTTACGCATACCTGAGCCTCGCCTATAAAAGAGGGCTGAGGACTCAGGTTTGCGGTTAACTTTCGTATCTGCTCAAAATAGCCTAAGCGCTTATCATTCTTGTACGAAAGGTTCACGGTATATCAGAGAAGGTTTACACTTGATCTTTCTGTGTTCATCTTTGTTGTTAATCTTTCATCTGTATGCCATATTATATTGCTGTTATAGAAAACAGGGACTAACAACAT